ATTCTGCTTCCTCAGCCTCCTGAGTAACTGGGATTACAGGCGCCAGCCACCACACCCGGCTAAGTTTTGTATTTTTAGTAGAGATGGAGTTTCACCATGTTGGTCAGGCTGGTCTTGAACTCCTGACTTTGTGATCCGCCTGCCTCAGCCTCCCAAAGTGTTAAGATTACAGGCGTGAGCCACCACACCCAGCCAAGCCAGGGTTAATTTCAAGAGTGCAGAGGTCTGATAAAAGTCACACTTTATGAAAAAAAATATATATATACATATTTTTGAGACAGAGTGTTGCTGTTGTCGCCCAGGCTGGAGTGCAGTGGTATGATCTTGGCTCACTGGAACCTCCCCGTCCCCGGTTCAAGTGATTCTCCTGCTTCAACCTCCCAAGTAGCTGAGATTACAGGCATCTGCCACCACACCTGGCTAATTTTTGTATTTTTAGGATAGATGGGGTTTTACCATGGTGGCCAGGCTGGTCTCAAACTCCTGACCACAGGTGATCTGCCCACCTTGGCCTCCCAAGTGTTGGAATCACAGGTGTGAGCCACGGCACCCAGCCAAAACATTTTTTTTTTTTGAGACGAAGTCTCCCTCTGTCGCCCAGGCTAGAGTGCAGTGGTGCACTGCAAGCTCTGCCTCCCGGGTTCACGCCATTCTCCCGCCTAAGCCTCCCAAGTAGCTGAGACTACAGGCGCCCGCCACCATGCCTGGCTAATTTTTTGTATTTTTAGTAGAGACGGGGTTTCACCTTGTTATCCAGGATGGTCTCTATCTCCTGACCTCGTGATCCGCCCATCTTGGCCTCAAAAAGTGCTGGGATTATAGGTGTGAGCCACCGCGCCCGGCCCAAAACATTTTTTTTAATTAGCACTGGTGTGCATGTGAAAAACATCTTTGAAATGCTCATGCACTTTCTGCATTTGATCTTGGTGAGAATTCAAAATCTGCTCCAAGACCTGGCACTATATTGGGGCAAACAGTCAGTACAGCTATTGTGTGTGTTTGTTAATGCACTAACAGTACACCTATTGTGTGCCTGCTGTCAGTACAGCCACTGTGTATGCCTGCTAGCATGCTGACAGTCAGTACAGCTAACAGTCAGTACCTCTGTTGCATGTGCCTGCTAGGGTGCTGACCGTCAGTACCCCTGTTGTGTGTGCCTGCTAGGGTGCTGACCGTCAGTACCCCTGTTGTGTATGCCTGCTAGTGCACACTGTGCCCATCTACTGTGTTCCTGGCGCTATGCCATGGGCTTCCACACACCTGGTCCCTGTGCTCCAGATGAGGACACAGAGGCTCAGAGAGGGCCTGGTCAGAGTCACAATGAGTGTGAGGCATTGCAGTGCTCTGAGCCTGACGGGGTGGGTCCTGCCCCACCCACATGAGAAGACTCTGGAGGTCCCAGAGAGGGCTACTCTTGATCCTTAGCACCTGAGTTCCAGTACCCAGGGCTGGAGTCTGCCTGAAGGATGCTGACCATCCCCAACTGCCACTGTGGTGGCCAACAGGGAGGACGCGGCTGCTGTGGTGGGCAGCTCTGTGTGCCTCTCCGCCCTTCCTCCTCCTTCCTAGGTGGGTTCCTAGGAATAGCCCAGGGGCCAGCACCTCTGTGTGTATATTAGTTCGATATGGCTTCATAGCAAATCACCACAAACCCAACAGCTTAAAACAACCCTCATTTATTACCTCCTAATTCTTAGTATCCCAAGGCTGAAACCAAGTGGGCAGCTGGGCTGAGTTCTTGTGTGGAGGCCCTGGGGTCAAACCTGCCTCCAAGCCCATTCTCTTCTTGTTGGCAGAACTCACTTCCTTGCGGTTAAGGTCTTGTCGTCTTGCTCGCTGTTGGCCGGGAGCAGTTCTCAGATCCTTGCCACGTGTCCCCTCGTCTCAACAGCAGAGAACCTTCTTTGCTTTGATCCCCCAATTTCTTCAACCAGGCAAAGGAAACTGCTTTTAAAGGGCTCCTGTGATGAGGTCAGGGCCTGCCTGATGATCCTCCTGTCTTAAGGGTACCTCTGAGCCACACAGTGTCACCCTCCTGGGCATCACCTCCACCAGACTCACAGTCCCGGGGACGATGCTGGCTTGCACACCAGGGGTCAGGACTCTCCAGGCCACCCTAGGATGTGACGGGCCTTGGGTACTCCCAGCGCACTGCTAGAGCTGAGGCTTGCCCCCGGCTTTTGTGTTGCTGAGCCAGCCTCATGGCTCTGCGAGTCTGCTGAGGTTTTCAAGGTTTTGCTCCTGGCCCTATGACTTAGTTGCTTGTAGGGCAAAGCACTTCTCCCTGCCTCGGTGGCTCCATGCCTGCAATGGGAATGACGCTCCATTTGTCTGCCAGGCTTTCCGTTTGGGAGTTACGAGGACAGGGGCAGGATAGGTTGCCCCCCACTCACTAAGTGCACACAACCCTGGCACCCCTCCTCCATCATCTAGGGGCCTCATTGTCTCATCTTACCCTGAGAAACAAAGATCCAGTGAGGTCAGATGCTTGCCCTTGGCCTGGGCCACACAGCGAGTGAACGTCAGAGCCGAGGCGGGAGCCCACCTCTGTTTCACCGCAAAGCCTTTGTTCTGGCCTCACCCCTCCACTTTCACTCTTCTCTGCTCAGATCCTGCCCATCCCCTGGGCTCACGGGAGATGCCCCTTGGAGGCCTCCACGCCAGCGCCCACCCCTGTGGCCATGGCATCCTCTCTGATGGCAGGCACAGACCTGGACCCTGTTGGCACCAGCCCAGCTTACAGCAGCCTCCGCGAAGGGCTCTGCAGCCCCACCCCATGGGTGGGAACTGCCCCTCCTGCCTTGCCCCTGCCCCGCCTGCCCTGGGGAATGGGAGCTCATCTCCACCCCCACCCCACCCTCAGGCCTCACAAAGCCAAGTTGGGGAAGCAGCTGTCCCGCCATGAGCGGTTGGAGGGTGGGGGTCTTGTTGCAGTTCGCACCCCCCTCCGCCCTCTCCCTCTGAGGGCCGCGGCCCCTCCCGAAGCCAGGTGCTTGCTCCTTTCTCTCTTCCTCCCTCCCTCCTCCCGCCCCCGCAGTCTCTCTCTCTCCTTCCCTCAACCCTTTCTCCCTCCCTCCTTCCCCC